TCCCTCCCCCCCCCCCCCCCCCCGACACCTTTCTGGTGGATACTGGGGGTTGTAGTGCTGCTATGTATTACATCAGAGAATATTAGTTTACACAGCAAAATACAGCAAGGTGAGCCAGGGGAGAGAGCGGGGAGAGACAGCCAGGAAAGAGAGAGAGAGAGAGAGAGAAAAGACGGCCAGGAGAGAGAGGAGAGACAGCCAGGGGAGAGAGCGCGAGGAGAGACAGCCAGGGGAGAGAGTGCAAGGAGAGACAGCCAAGAGAGCAAAGAGAGACAGCCAGGAGAGAAAACGAGAAATGACAGCCAGGGGAGAGAGCAAGGAGAGACAGCCAGGAGAGAGAGAGGAGAGAAGGCCGGGGAGAGAGCAAGGAGATAAAGCCAGGAGAGAGAGAGCGAGGAGAGACAGCCAGGAGAGAGAGCAAGCAGAGACAGCTAGGAGAGCGAGGAGAGACAGCCAGGAGGATGAGGAAGGAGAGACAGCCAGGAGAGTGAGGAGAGACAGCCAGGAGAGAGAGAGCGAGGAGAGACAGCCAGGAGGATGAGGAAGGAGAGACAGCCAGGAGAGTGAGGAGAGACAGCCAGGAGAGAGAGCAAGGAGATAAAGCCAGGAGAGACAGCCAGGAGAGAGAGCAAGCAGAGACAGCTAGGAGAGCGAGGAGAGACAGCCAGGAGGATGAGGAAGGAGAGACAGCCAGGAGAGTGAGGAGACACAGCCAGGAGAGAGAGAGCGAGGGAGTATTTTTTTTCGTTGGTAGATCTCATGTAGCTCGTCATTTGAAAAGTAGATCTTAACACCAAAAATTGTGGGCGCCCCTGATCTAGAGCCAGGTCCTTATGTTCCTGTAAATGTCTGAAGTCTGCACAGAGCCTGGGCTCGCATTACAGGCATCCCCAGCTAGTATAAGTGTATATAAATGCAACATGTATGTTTTCGTATGTTTTGCATTGTGCCTCGCCGAATGGAGATTTGTTAAGCAAATCATTTTTGGTGAATCTGTTGCAAAGTTTCTCACCGGGAGCTAACGCCAATAAGGTCACTTCCTGTTCATGCAGCTGAAAGAGCGCACAAGGCAAGCCGACAATGCTGCGCCAGAAAGATCCGTCACTGGTAGGAGCTCCTGTGTTAGGCAGGCCATTCAAAATGAATGGGCTGCCAATGCGCCTGAATGGCCCAGGCATCAGACCTGCACCTTTTTTGGCAGCATAACCCAGTGCACCTGCGCTGGCAATGTGCCTCGCATTGCAGTTCAGAATGAATGACACCACATCGCGCCATTGCCAGCACCCGCCCGAGGATCCCAGTGCTGTAAAGCCAGCCATACGCATTGCCAGTAGGACTAGTGAACAGCGGGTTGGCTGACTCACACACACGTACAGCCCTTGTTACGTCTTACGCTGAAGGGAATCTGTATGTTTATAAAGCAGCGAATGTGACTTCTCGGGTGGGGAACCAATCACTGCCATTCTCCCGGGGAGCGAAAAGCATCAAATTGGTGTTGGGGCAGATAGGAGGTGGGCAGCCATCTTGGGCATGCTCAGGAGAATTTTTAGACAGGACCCAATTATCCTACCAGCATGCAGGCCCAGATTCCCCACAAGGCCACCGAGGCCCGGCCTCGGGGCAGAGGGGCGGCAGCGGTGTCCTTGTGGGGAAGTTCCTTTGCACAAGCAGGACTAAATGTAGAGTGAGGGAAGCCGATTGTTCGTTTACATGTGATGTCAGCGATGTAAAAAGTCTGCAGCCTCCTCCCCTCCCCCCTGCACTTACCTCTCTCTTCTGGTTCTGTCCTCCGGGCTCCGGCGCCGAGTCTTTCCTCACTGCAGTGAGCAGCAGGGTTAAAAGTAACCCCGCCGCTCCGTGTAGACAGTGAGAGGGGAGAGCTGTGCTGTGCCGTGCTGTGCTGTGCTGTGCCGCGTAAATAAATAAATTGATAAAAAATAATTAAATAAATAAAAATGAAAAAAAAATAAGAAGAAATAATTAAATAAAAAAGTGATAAAAAAAGTTTAAAAAAATAAAGAAACATAAAAAAAAAATTGAAACTAACCCCCGCCGCCCTGCCATCTGGTTGCCATTTTCCATTGATGGGAAGGGGGGCGTATTGCGGAACCTGGCCTTGGGGCGGCAGGGGGAGTAAATCCGGCCCTGCCAGCATGTCTTTGGAAAGCAGATTGTTAGGAGGAAACCAACACAGGCACCAGATGAACATCCAAACTCCATGCAGATAATGATAAGATCAGGATTAGAGACGAGGACCGCAGTGCTTTAAAGCTGGCCATTTACATCAGTGAATCTTTAAGCTCCCTCATCCATGCTAAACATCATTGATGGAGGAATCTCCTGGGCCACCTATGGTATTCTGAAGGCTACCAGCCGCGGCTGTTGACCTCCTGCAGTCACTTCCTGTCCACGTGACCTCCAGTGATGGCTGCATGGCTTTTCTCAGGCCGTGTTTTCTGATGGTGACAACAGTGGGTCATGACTGTGTAACGTGTGTAGCTTGTAGTCTCCATCAGAAGACGGGGTGACAACGCAGGAGCACAATTGGGATCCATTGGCCATCCGTGGCGGGATCACCAGGGATGATTACAATGAAAGCCGCAGATTTACAAACATTGACGATGACGTTTATGGGAACATTGCCATGTTGAAGCTTCTATGAGATTTTGATGATCGGGGTTTACATTGACTGTCCTCACGCAGCTTCTGGTTGGATCTCTGTACAGAAGAATCATTATAATAAACATATTCCGCTCTCCTCTCATGTGCCCTGTGTTCTCCTCCATATAACGCTCGTCCTCTTTTTCTTTTTTTTCCCTCCTCAGGCTCTTTTGCAAGTTGCCAAAAATCTCTTCACACATTTGGGTGAGTTCTTCTTGTTCTTTCTTTATATGGCGTTATAAACGGTACACGGGGAATGTCTGGCCCCGAGGGATAGAAATTACATTGTTGCCCTTCTATGTACAGTAAATATCGGATTTTGTGCAGCAGAAGGTGTCCTGAGGACTTCAAGAAATGCTCGGTATAAAAATAGCTCTTTCCTGAGCTCGGAGTGCCGCCATCTTTTCTCATATTTGATGCCGTGTTGCTGCTTTTTTTGGTTGAGGAAATAAAAAAAAAAGTTATTTTTACCCCAAGTACTTTTTGAAGTCCTTAAAAGAGAACTACGGGCAAAGTGTTTTTCCCCATAGTTCTCCTCAGGGTCACGGGAGGACATATACTAGCGTCCTCCCGTGAACCAAAGCTCATTATAAAGCGAGCCTGCCATATACTGAGACCGCCGCAGCCGGGACGGATCCCGACAATTATGTCTGGATCCACCCAGCTGCGTGAGTGACAGCTGGCTCTGCCTATCTAGAGGCAGAGCAAGCTGCACCCGCCCCCTCCCCCATCCGTTCCTCCAGTCAGGGCTGGAGGATCGGAGCGGGGAGGGGGGGAATGCCTGCAAGGAGCCGTGAGTGAGTCACGGCTCTCTGCAGGGATAGATCGAGAAGTGAGTGAGCGACGTTATGTGTTCTCTCACCTCCCGATCTATTGAGCTGACCTGTGACTATTTCATTGTCACACGTCGGCTCGAACTATGAGGATGAGTGATTTTCACTCCCCCCCCCTCTCCCTCATAGTTCTCCTTTAATGTGGGACACCTGTTGTCATACTATGTCATGGATAACCCTATAGATGCCGGTAAAGTACAAGGTGCCTTATTGATGTTGTTTGGTGTGCAGTATATGATTCAGTAATGCCAGATTCGGGGGATCACAGAGGTGTTACGAGGTGACCTCACCATGCTCCATGACACCTGCCATCACTGTAACACTTCTAGGTATGTGTTACCATGTAGGCTACTCTAAGGAAGCCCACTGTGGTTAATCATGGGCAATTGTTGGTCATGAATATGGTCTTCAGTAGCAATGTCTTCTACATGGCATTGCCAGGCCACTAGGGAGATATAATCTACCTGTGTGTCCCAAATCTGTCCTGGGTCCTCCTCCCAGATGGACATTCCTGGTACAGCTCCTGAGGAGCTACTTAAAGCAGAACTATGAGGGGGGGGGGGTGCTTTTCACTCACCTCATAGTTCTAGCCGACCTGTGACAATGAGACCGTCACAGGTCGGCTCAGTAGATCGGGAAGTGAGCGAACACATACCGGCTTGATTCTGTCACTTCTCCATCCTCTCTATCGTGACAGGGGAGGGACTGGGTTCTCCCCGCTCCGATCCTCCAGCGCTGACTGGCGGAACGGACGGGGGAGGAGGCTGGTACAGCTGGCTCTGCCTCTAGATAGGCGGAGCCAGCTGTCACTCACGCAGCTGGGTGGATCCAGACATAATTGTCAGGATCCGCTTCAGCCGCAGCGTCTCAGTATATATAGAGCTGTAGCTCCCTATATACTGAGCTTAGGGTGACGGGAGGACGCTAGTTTGTGTCCTCCCGTTACCCTAAGGAGAACTATGTGGAAAAGCCCTGACCTCGTACTTCTCCTTTAATGTTCACCATAAAGAGGTCCAAATTCCTTCAGCTACTTGAAGGAATAGCCCATAGCCCAGCCTGGCCCGCTTTCAACTTATCACAAAGCGCGAGCCTGGCCCTCTACTGGGGAAAATTCATATCCACCAGCTGCACCGACTAAATTGTTGGTATTATGAACATGAGCATAAGGTAGATATGTCACAAACATGGGCCACCCTACCTGAGTGTGTGATGAATAAAGGACTGAGCAGAGGTTGGATAGAGTAAGGGACAATTGAATCCCTTATGAGTTATGCTTTTATGTTGTGGGTTTTTTTCAGAGAGGGGGGTGGCTCATATTTTGCTTCACTTCCCGTCCTGGAGACACAATAGGAAGGGAGGGGGATTCTCCCCCAAAGTCAGGGCAAACCATTTCTAAGTTGTTGCCAGAACAGGTGTACCCTATATTAAGATCTTGCCTCACCTTCTGCTCCGGTGACAGCTGTGGTTCCCAGGACAAATAAAAAAGGCGAATCTCCCCTTCAGGGGCACAGGCACCAATAAAATCCTTACAGGGGCTCTAACTCTTCCCCCACCCCATACTTCATAATGATCAGCAGATAAAGATATAGAGGCAGATGCAGTTACATTCAAATATCAACCGAAAAAGGTGAGCTGGCCATGACCCTCTTCAGTCTCCTAACTGGTCAACAGAGCTGTCCATCATATTTTAAGGTCATCATTGTGCAAAAGCGGGCGGGCCCAGCTTGGACATTACGGGTCATCCCCACTTACGTTCTCTTTCATCACATGCTACGTTTGAATTGCACGGCCTTGATTTCAGGTTTAGCAATGAAGCGGTGAAGGGTTATCTGTAATGAATTCACAGCTACCGGGGCTAATTCGACAACATCAGCATAGCTTAGATGTCACCCCTCACACTCATCCATACACCCACCCACCCATTCATCCACCATCCACCTATTCCTCCATCTACCCACCCATCCACTCATCCATCTACCCATCCCCTTATCCACCCACCCATCCACTCATCCATGTACCCATCTACTCATCCATGTACCCATCTACTCACCCATCCACTCATCCATCTACCCACCCATCTACTCATCCCCTTATCCACCCACCCATCCACTCATCTACCCACCCATCCACTCATCTACCCACCCATCCACTCATCTACCCACCCATCCACTCATCTACCCACCCATCCACTCATCTACCCACCCATCCACTCATCTACCCACCCATCCACTCATCTACCCACCCATCCACTCATCTACCCACCCATCCACTCATCTACCCACCCATCCACTCATCTACCCACCCATCCACTCATCTACCCACCCATCCACTCATCTACCCACCCATCCACTCATCTACCCACCCATCCACTCATCTACCCACCCATCCACTCATCTACCCACCCATCCACTCATCTACCCACCCATCCACTCATCTACCCACCCATCCACTCATCTACCCACCCATCCACTCATCTACCCACCCATCCACTCATCTACCCACCCATCCACTCATCTACCCACCCATCCACTCATCTACCCACCCATCCACTCATCTACCCACCCATCCACTCATCTACCCACCCATCCACTCATCTACCCACCCATCCACTCATCTACCCACCCATCCACTCATCTACCCACCCATCCACTCATCCATCCACCCATTCATCCACCCAGATTCATTATCCATTCATTTTTCCATCCATCCATCATCCAACCATCCATTGATCTCACCAATCTATCCATCCTTCCACTCATCCAGCAACCCATCCACTCACCCACCCATCCATTCACCCACCCATCCATTCACCCACTTATTCATCCATCCACCCACCCATCCATCATCCATACATCCTTGCACCCATTCATCCTTCATCCATCCTTTCATCTCATCCACCCATCCAACCACCCACCTATCTATCCATTATCCACCCATCAATCCGTCCATTCACGCACCCACCCACCCATTATCCATCCATCCTTCCATCCATCCACCCATCCATCCATTCATCCTTTCCCCTATCCATCCATCCATGTGCAATCACCAAATGCTGTGCTACTAGCATGCTGAAAAACAACCCATGTATTTCCCACAATATAATACTGGCTCTGAATCCGGGAAGAGATACATTGTACGGCTTCTTCTCTTTTAGGATATTGCGGGTTCCTTAGATGTATTCTGGTTCTATGAATCACACACTCGCATGTTTTCCTTCCCTCGTAGCTCACACCTCAATCAGCTCCTTCAGCCTGACGGCTACTTTGTGTTTCTCCGCTGATGTATAAAAAATAATTAAAATGAATTATCGGCGGCGTCGGCGTCACGCTCTTACCTTCGAATGAGGCGAAAATCCATCACAAATATGAATTTGGGAACATGAAAGCAGACAAATTACCCTGAGCTGAAATTATCAGGGAGGCACCTGGTAATGGAGACACGGCGCTGGCGGTCGGCACTGTACACCGCTTTATCAGTGGATTAAATGCTGCCTGTCATAACGTGGCGGGGTGACATTTTAATAACCTTTCCGAGTCATTACATTTCCCTTCTTCCGAAGCCAAATATCAGCTATTACTGAACACTTAGCGGAGAAGAGGAAATTGATGCGTCTTGTAAAAGAGACACCGCCACTTTAAGTAAGAAAAATAATGTAGCCTGATATAGCGTATGTTAGCGCTATGGAAGAGTGTAAAGGAATGATACATTCTAAAAGGCCACATAGAGTCTAATATAGAGCCATTCATCCAACTGTCCATCCAGAGCCGCCATTATTAGACCGGATACACCCTAAAGATAGAGCCATTTAAGGCCGAATCCCACCACGTGGAGTGGTTTTGGTGCTCCGTGTGTAGCCCGGCTGGTGGCACAGGAAGAATGAGTCTAGTGAGCAATGACTTCCCACTTTTTATTTGCGCTCTGATTGGGTGGCAGAGAAATCACTGGGGGTTTTTTTTTCCGCCTGACAAATCTCTGAATTTGGGTTCTCGTTTCTCTCCACAGATGACGTGTCCGTCCTGCTCCAGGAGATCATCACAGAAGCCCGGAACCTTAGCAACGCAGAGATGTACGTAATTCTCCCCCCCCCCCCCCCAAACAACGAGAGATGT